TCTGTCCTGCAACTGTGGCCCACAACTGCATACAGGCAATGGAGCTGCCAATCAGCCCCAGATGTCCCCAGTGCCAGCAAATAGTCTCCTGTAATCTCTTTCTGACCAGTTGTCTGACACCCTTCCCATCTCTGGGCTGAGAGCTCCTGAAGCTGCTGCTGCAGCAGCCTCTGCTGCCTCTACCACTTGGGTGGGCTCCAGAAAGGCCTCAAACCATGTCACAGACTTTTCTTACTGACCTCTTCAGTTTCCTTGAGCCAGAAAAAAAGTCTCACTCCAACCTTTTGTTGGCTCTCTGCTCCAAAATCTGATTTGAAGCATTATTTTAAAGTGTTTGGAGGGGAATGTTGAGAGTTCAGCTGGGGGTGACTGCCCTCAATCTGCCACCTTTGCTCCACCCATCCTGGACTTTCTTTTATTGGGACAGTACTTGACACAGAGTAGGCACTTCATAAATCAGGTTGTTGATTGTATCATACATATGGCAAGTAGTCATCTAGTTATTGTTTGACAACTTGCAGAGACAGGGAACTCACTACCTACCAAATCAGCCCATTTCACTTTTGGACAATTCTTAATGTTAATTGAAGTTTCTGACATTGAGTCAAAACACAGTCTTACATTTATTCTAATTGCATTTTATCCTTTTAGTTTTGCCCCCATTTTTACAACTTGGCAGGATTTAGGATCATTTTACTGAAGGTGGTTGCCCTATGGGCCATTTGAAATTCTTTTGATTAGCAAGCTACCTTTTTTGAAATATCCCCAGGACTAAATGTACAGAGTGAGACCCATTTCTGGACATGGAAAATGTGGAAATGTGTATTGCTCAACTAAGCATATGTTACAAAGGTTTTGTTGTTTTTGTTTTTTCCATGATGAGGCGGTTGGTAGGAGGTGGGAAGGAGAAAATGCCTGATAAATGACCAAAAAAAATTGGCCTAGGAGGGTTATTGCTTTTTAGGTCCTTGGCTCCTAGCCAGAGTCTCCCCACTTCCTAACTTCCCTATAACTGGAAGGTACCGCCCTCCTCCCAGTCACTACAATTGAAACAGAGGCGTCCTCCTTGACTACCCTCTCTCAATCCCATATTCAATCAGCTGCCGAGTACTGCCATTTTTGCCTTTAGAATATTTCATATGCGCCCCCTCCTGTCTGGGGCTGGCCCTTATCACGTCACACCTGGACAATGGCAAAGCTGCTGGTGGTCCGTCTCCCTCAAATCTTTTTCCCACTCCAGTCCATCCTTCCCTCAACTGTAAAACTGATCTTCCTAAAGCACAAAGTCATCCCCATCTATATTCAGTCGACTACATTGGCTTCCTATTATCTCTAGTATCAAATATAAAACCCTCTATTTAGCTTTTAAAAACCATCTGTAACCTGACTCATTTTCACCTTTCCAATCTTTTAAGACCTTACATACCCCGTGTACTTTGCCATCCAGTGACACTGGCCTCCTTGCTAGTGCTCTCATCAGACACTCCAGCTCCTGATTTCGGGCATTTTCACTAGATATCCCCCATGCCTAGAATCCTCTCCTTCTTCATTATGCCTCCCAGCTTCCCTTAAGTCCCTTCCCTGATCCCCCTTAAATGCTAGGACCTTTTGAGTCATTTGTATGTTGTCCCACCTGTAAGCTCTGCGAGAGCAGGAACTGTCTTTGGTCTTTCTTTGTATCTCTAGCACTTAGTAGGGTGTCTGCCTCACACCCAGTAGTTGCTTAACAAGTGGTTGTTGACTGCTTGAATTAGAGGAGACGGCACAGTGCTGGAGAAGGTCAGGATGTGGCTTCCAGTCCTGGCTTTGCCACAGTGCAACATGGGATAAGTCACTTATCTACTCTGGGACCCAATATTCTCATCTTTAAAATGAGGGAAGTGACCTCAAAAGTCTGTAAATATATTAAACTAAATTTATTTAGAACACCATAGTTGTGGTATATAGTCAGGGAGATTTTGCTGCTTTATGTTTCCTCACAAGGTAGCACAGCACGATATTTTATTTGTGCAAAGTGTTTGCTCAGGACTGTTTTGTGATCAAGGAAGAAAGGATGGACAGCAAGAAGTTGGTTCCTTCCTGGTCTGTTCCAATTTCTCAGGAATCAACCTGTGTAACTCGATTTAAGAGCATCTGAGTCATCATAGGAGATAGAAATCATAATCATCAAGATAATGGTGTCAGTCACTCACTAACAAGGACTCACAGATCAGTGACCTCTTCCTCACAAGACACTGCCTCACCTCTGACATGTCCATTACAGAGGAATGCTGGCTAAACCACAGCCCACTCCTCCCCTATACACCCACAGACCTCCAGGCTGTCTGACACACCACTCAGATTATGGGCAGTGCTTCTTCCTCACTCTCTCACACTAGTCCTGCCCAGTACTCTATACTCTTATGCCTTTTAAAAAATGTTTGCCCTTTGTGGACTGGCAAAGTTCTAGTCCTTTCCTCCCCTAACTTGCAACAGAAAAGCTGGATAGAATTTACAGGGTCACAGATTTAGAAGTGAAAGACTAGAGGTCATGTGGTCCAACCCCTTTGTTTTATAGGTGGGGAAACTGAAGATCAGTGAAGTTATGTGACTTACCCAGTATCTCACAGATGTTAAGTAGAAGGGCCAGGATGTGAACCAGATTACTGCTAGTGTTGAGGTTTAGAGGTGCTGGGACCCCAAAATCACATCATGTGGGTCCTGCCCAAATGAATTCAACCCAAGCCTTCCTTCAGCCAAGGACAAGGCTTACTATTAGAACAGAAGTGGGTGAGATTTAAAGAATCTGCCATATTGGCCAGACTCTTAAGGGAGTTAAGCACTGGTATGGCTAATGCAAGCAGGCTAGATCTTAAGAATCTGAGCACCTTAACAGAGGCCAGATGGACCTTATATACAAAAGGACTGTGGGAGGGATCTAGGAGTGGCCAAGTAGTCTTTAGGACTGTGAGGTAACAGAAGTCAGGGACTTGCATCACTTAGCCAAGGGAGAATACAGCCTAGATAGGATTAAGGGTAGGAAGTGGCCCAGAGCCATAGAGACTTTAAGACAATGGAGGGCTAGGTTAAGGATAACAGAGAATTATGAGATGGGGCATAGGCCCTAATGAAAGGCCTGTTGATGGGATTATAGCCTCAGGTAACCGTCAGAGATTTGGCCACTGGGGAAAAGTCCAGGGCTTTCTTTTCGGAGTACAGATCTCAAAGACATGGTCTTTTCCCTTTAGGGGTTCAGATCCCATCCTCATCACTAGAAGTCACAGGGCAGCACTAATGTCACAAAGAGGCAAATTTAGATTTCATTTAAGGAAGAAGTTCTTGGCACTCACTGTACAGAAGTGGAAATGAGCAGCCCCAGGAGGTAGTGGTCCCCCCTTACTGAAGGTCCTCATGGCGGGCTACTTGTTCAATTTATCAGAGGGGAGAGAGGTAGTGGGGCAGAGCTCCAAGGAGCTGGTCCCTGATGGACAAAGATTTGGGTTTAATTGTGCTTCATTCAGGCAGAGTAGGTGCTTCCCCAGGCTGGTGGAATCACAAGTCCAGGAAAAAAAAGGAGGGGAGTCCTGGGTTGGACCGTGCAGGTACCTTGATGTGGATCTCACCCTGAACATCTTGTGACTCCATGGTCCCACATCCACTGAACTGAGGCGCTGCAGCAGCAGACCTTCCTCAGCAGAGCTCTCAGGACTCCTCTCTCTCAGCCTAGAACTCGGTCCACATCCTTCAACATCTTTTCTGGATTCTGGCTTTGCAGGTTCTGAGTCACCCTTTCTGGCTTCCCTCTTCTGCCACCCAGATGCAGTCTCAGGCTGTGTCCAAGATCAGTCTTTTAGACTCCACCCTTCCTTTGTTTTTATAGCCAGCACCCTTCCCCAGCCTCCCTTAATTCCCACCCACTAGGTCCCCTCAAACTTATCTCCAGCTTCATCCCTCCCCAAACCCCCACTGGTCACTTTCATTTCTAATAAATCTCTCACAGCCCCCTGCACAAAACCCTCTTCTCTCCAGCCCCAGGCTAAGTCCTCTCTGGTCCATCCAGTAGCTCCTCTCACCTTAGCCCTCCCTTCTCTTCTTCAGCCAAGTTTGGCTGGGGTAGAGTAACCTGGTCATTGGATTTTCCGCCTCCAGGTCCTCTTCCCTTGGAGCCAGTACACCCCTGCCCAAAGACTCTTCCTAACACCACTCCCGTGATATCACTCCTGTTCAGGGCTGTTGACACTCTTCTGTTGGCACTAACGACCTTCCAGGTTGCTTCCAGCCCCAGATCTGGGCTCCTGGGATGGAGGGACCTCATTTCCCTCGGCCTCAGTTTCCCCCTCTGTAAAAGCAGGGGGTCTCACTAAATGACCTGAGGTCCCTTCCAGGCCAGATCTGGGCTCCTGGGATGGAGGGACCTTGCTTCATGAGCCTCAGTTTCCCCCTCTGTAAAAGGAGGGGAAAAATTATAAAAGGGGCAACTAGGTGGCGCAATGGACAGAGCTCCGGTCTTGGAGTTAGGAGGACCTGAATTCAAATCAAGTCTCAGACACATGACATTTACCAGCTGTGTGACCCTGGGCAAGTCACTTAACCCCGACTGCCTCACCAAAAAGCAAAAAAAAAAAAAAATTGTAAAAGCAGGACGTCTCACTAAATGATCTGAGGTCCCTTCCAACCCCAGAGCTAGGCTCCTGGGATGGAGGGACCCCGCTTCCCTGGGCCTCAGTTTCCCCCTCTAAAAGCAAGAGAGGGGACACCCTAAAACGCGCCGGGCTCCCGGGGTCCCTACCTGCGCTAGCCACTCGGAGCACGCGAGCCTGCGCCCCGCCCCCTCCTCCGCGCTCGGCCCTGATTCCGCCCTCCTCCGCTGCGCGTGCGCGGAAGCCCAGAGGTAGAGCTCGGCCGCGCGCCGCGAGCGGGATGACGCAGGGGCACGTGCGGGGCCGGGCCCCGGTGGCGCGCGTCCTTAAGGACTCGCGGCCGCGGGCGGCGGCACCTCCTCAGTCGGCCTGTCAGCCGGCTTGTTTGGTGGCGTGTGGCCTCGGGCGAGGCTGGGTCATTTATCCGGGGACGCCCGGAACCCCGGCCAGGCTGGGGCGAGCGAGGGGAGAGCGGACATGGCGGAGGAAGAGGCCGATTCCGTGGAGACCCCCGAAAGGTGAGCGCCTGGGCCGTCCGGGGCCGGCTCGCACCGGGGGCGGACGCCGGGAACTGCCCGAGCGAGCGAGGGAGGGAACGTTGAGAGCCAAGGGAGCGGTGCGAAGGGGACGATGGAACGTCGGGGCCTGGCGCGAGGGCCTGGGAGGGAGCGGGTGGGCAGGTGCGATGACCCTGCGAGAAGCCGGCTTAGGTGGTTGTGGGGGCTAGAGCGCCGGGGAGCGGGGCGGGGCCAAAACGTCGGGAGCGGCCCGGGATTGGCTGGAGCCGGCGCGGGGAGGGCGGGTGAGCGTTGGAACGTTGGGGGGGGCGTTGTGTGACGAGGGGGGGGGGAGGATGGAACTTTACAGCCGGGTGCTAGGGGCGGGGCTAGAACCTCGGGAGCTGGCGGGGATTGGCCCAGCGGGCCCCAGGCTGGGGCAGGGGGGCGGGGCGCCCAGTGTGGCGAGGTCGCGGCAGGAGGCCGGGAGGGTTAGCACCGGGGAGCTGGGGGCGGGGCTAGAGTCTCGGGGTGGGGGGGCGGTGGTCCTCTCCCGTGAACTTGGAACACGCTCAGAGGGGCGTTCCTGGGGGCGGGGTGTGACCTGGCCTTGCCGTGGGCGCGGTCGTTTGTCCGCATATTTGCGGGACTGTATTGTGACTGACTGGGATGCCTCGTTGCTTCTGGAACCTCCCTAGAAACCTGCTGGCGGGTTGTCCGAGCATCCTCACCAGAGATCCCGGCTGGGACACCCGCGGGCTCGTGGGGGAGGGGCGGCCTGGGGGTCGTGGAAAGAGCAGATCTTCCCTCCAGGAAAGTCACCTAGCTGCAAAATGGGGCCAACACCGCCTGTATTTCCGAAGTGACTGAGTCCTGCCCGAAGTCTTGCGGCCAGTTTGCGGCACGGCGGTTGTGGGATCCCGGTTTCTTGTGGATTTGTAAACAGTGTCACCCTGTGTTTTACAAGGACTGTTGGAATGGTGACTTTAAACATACTCTCATTTTAATTACGTGAACCCATGAAAGAACTAGGTTTTGTCCAGAAATGTTCCAATTACTGAGAACTAACTTCCTCAAAGTTGTATTTCATAGAGCTTCATTTCCCCCAAAATATTATAGAAAGACAGGTGAACTTTTGAATGAAATCTAGGGTGTGTGGTGTACAGTTTGAGTTGGGGGAAACTTTTGGCATAAAAGTATGTGACCAAAAAAAGGTCTGTAGATAGGAATCCCTGTAAATCATCAGTTGGAGTTGGTTTGTTTCTTGGTTCCAATTTCTTTTAGGTGTATTGATTTTAATTTTCTTGGTGTTTTATTTTTAACAGCAGCTTGGAGGTTGACAGTCCCGTATTAAAACATTTTTAATAGGCTAGATTAGAAATAAAGGACTGGACCTGTTTTACTTGTCATTAAATTCAGGCTCTTGATAGTTAAATAAATATGGTCAGTTTACTGAAGAATTAATTTGACAAAAACATTATCTTATTTCTCAACATTGGGAAGTTAAATGCATTCTATAGGCTTTCCCACACATGTATCAAGTGTTTCATTTTGTTGAAGCTTAAGTGGTTTTTTCAAAGGCCTGCAGAAATCCATTTCTAATTTTACTATTTACAATCAAAATTGATTAGGTGATTTTGGGCACTGTGAAGACTAGTATATTCAGAAAGACTCGATTATAGAAACAGGAAGGCTTGTAAGAAAGCGAAGACTGGATGGCCGTTTGCCAGGTGTGTTGTAGGAATTTTTTCATGACTAGGTTAGATTAGACAATCTTTGAGGTCCCTTCCAACTCTGAAATTCTGTGATTCTCCAATTTACATTACTTCCACCTAATGTGGTTGTGTCTTGAAAATGAGATAGCTAGTAAAAGCACTTTATATTTACAAACCCATGTGGTACAGTATACAGGTAACTTAATGGTATTCATTTAAAATCTAGCTAACATTAAGCATCTACTCCCATTGTTGGTCTGACCTTAAATTCTTGAAGGTTATGCCACTGAAATGTATGTTCGTTCTACGTAGGATACACCTATCTGGATTTTGGGTTGATGACAGACTCTGGCTTTCTGAGAATTAGATCAGCTAAATCTGGAGAGAATATCATCAGTACCTGCCAAAGGTCATCTACTAGCCTGCAGAGTAGTTATTGGCAGGGGTGGGAGGAATGCCCTGCCCTGCTGCCCTCTTCCCACCCCCAATCAGTGAAGTTCTAGATTCTTGGAATGTTCAAAGTCATATCAGGCTCTGGGGAAGACACAGAGACTAAGAAATGGTTCTTGCTGTCATGGAGCTTATAGGGCATTATTATTTTAATATTTTATTTCAGTATTCATGTCTTATGTTATTGCATCACATTCATTTCCAAATATTTTCCTTTCCTACCCAGTGAACCATGTCTTGAAACAAAAATGTTTAAAAAGAGGGCAAAAAGGCATTTCAGCAAAACAGACTGCCAGATTGACCTGAGTACTGTTCCACATCCTCCCCGTATAGGTGGAGGGAAGTACATTTCCTCAGCTCTTTGTTATAATTACCTCATGTTCTTTATTTCCTCCTTTCCATTTTACATTCTTGTCATTGTATGTATTGTTTTCTTGGTTCCATTTAATTCACTCTGCATCATCTTATGTAAGTTTTCTCGTGATTCACTGAACATTCTTTGTTTCTTACAGGAATTACAGGAATCATTTCCATTATGTTCATGTGCCAACGCTTGTTTAGCCGTACTCCAATTGATGGGCATCTACTTTCTTTCCAGTTTCTTGCTCCAAAAAAATTCTGCTATAAATACTTTGCTGTATAAGAGACCTTTCTGTCTTTAACCTCCTTGAAGTGTGTGCTGAGCTGTAGGTCAGAGGGTATTTTAGTTACTTTTCCCAAAAAAATTCTACAGTGTTTTCCAGAGTGACTCTGCCAGCAGTGTTTAACTGTGCTTGACTTTTTCAGCCCTTCTAGCACTTTTGTCTGCAGATAATTGCCAAGTGGGAAGCGGTGCCTCAGAATGGTTTCATTTTGCCTTCTCTTGTTGTTAGTGACTTGGAGACTACATAGTTTTTAAATACTTATTCTTTCATAATTTTTCTAGCTAACTCATAGGGTTGCCATGAGGAAAAGTGCTTGGTAAACTTCAAAGTACGATACAAATCTCATTTTCACCAAGTATGGAGAATAGACCATATTTGCATAGTGTGTGATTTTTGTATTTCTGCCATAACCAGGTGACTGCTTACTTACACTTAAAGTGAAAGCTGGTCTCTGTTATAGAAAAAAGGTAGAGATGCTTTAGGAATGCCTCTCTACTCACCAAACTATTAGGAAGAATTAAACATATCTTTTAAAATAAAAGGGGGGGGCACTTCCCAATGTGAACAACAGGAAGAAAAAGGTTCTGAAGAGACATAGAATGATCCTGGCTTATTTGAGGAAATTGAGGAGTAGGACAAAGTGACAAAGGAGAAAGGGAAGAAGGAAGAACAAGGAAACCTTGGAAATAAGAAATAGATAAAGATTTTAAAGAAGAAGAGAGTTGGGCCCTAAAGAGGAAGGCACTGCTGTGTGCACCACGTTGATCCACTGCAAATTCTAGCTCTCTGGATCATCAGGAGTCAGCATGAGAGAGGAGTCCCTTGCTCAGGGAATGGGAGAAGCTTTTTGTCCCCTTGGTAATAGTAATGAAGACCAGGAATGTGTTTAGGATGTGATGGACAGTCACCCAAGACTTGACAAACCAGGTGTTTACTACCTACTTCCGGTGACTCAGTTGGGCATGAATGATGGTACCTAAAGGAATCTAGACAGGATTGCTAAGGTTTGCAGATTCGTGGGGAAGGAATTGAAGAACTTGGGGGCACAAGTGGTGTTTTCATCTCTATAGCCAATCAACAAGCATTTATCAACAACCTACTATGTTCTGAGGACTTTGGAGGATAGACAAAAATGAAACCATTTCTGTCTTCAAGGAGCTTCCGTTTGATCAATCAAAGACAAGAGCTTCAGGAGAGAAAGGTAGATTTATGAAGTGAATAACTGCTTAAGAAGATGATGTCTGAGAAATGGGATTTGAATTTCTGAACCATGCCTAAAATCTCCTGACTAGGGACTGTGTGTGTGTACCTGGTAATGGCTGGTGAGAATGTCTGTTTGATTCTTGCAAATATGATCAAAAGGGCTATAAATTGAAAAAGAAGGGGAAAGAAGAAAATGACCTATGTATAGCTATCAAACTAGATGGCATAGACAGTAGCCACAAGGTAGAAAGAATTATAACCAGAGATGCCCATTAACTCTGAGCAGAGTAAACTAAATTCAAGATGAAAGGAGCCTGGAATAAAACACATGGCTTCATCAGTACACAAAAGCACAAAGTATAGGCAAACAAGTAAGATGAACTGAAGGTCCTGAGACTTGTTGGGAGGTGACATGATTAGAATGGGACTCTAGAAGGGAAAAGAGTAAGTAAATGGGGATGCAGTAGGTGTAGATTTTTGAGGAGACATAGTCTTGAGGAAATGTAAGGACTAGAGCTGGGCGCTTTAAGGGTAAATATCAACAGAGGCTGAAACAATATTCTCAGTAACTCCTACAAACCACCTGGAAAGGAGAAGAAGAAGATAAGTATGAGGAGTTTTGGAAATAGATCATGTTTACTATGAAGACAAGATTACAGAAGTGATGAGAGGCTTCAGCTGTCTGGTGATCTACTGGAGTTTTTCTCTGCCAAAGCAGAGCTTCAGGTGATGACTAGCCTAGATTGATAGTCTTATCTTTCAAAAGTTGGAAGACTCAATAAGAAGAAATTCTGTTCTAGATCTGACTCTCAGCAGCAAGAAAGATCTAGCTGCTGAGGTGGAAAGGGACAGCTCCCTTCTGGGAAAGAGATAACTCCAGCTCAAAATGTATAATAGAGAAGAGGAAAGCCAGACTTAGCCTCAGATTCTAGATTTAGATTTTATGTATTTGGGGGCAGGGTGGCAATGGGGTTAAGTGACTTGCCTAGAGTCATAGAGCTAGTAAATA